CTTTTTTTAATTGAAGGACAAAATACAAAGAATTTCAATTAAAAAACCTGAAACATTTCGCCTGAGAATATTGAAATGGAATGTTTTGAATTTTGGAGGGGAAAAGCTAACGCATGCAAAACTGAGGCAAAATTTCCAAGATGTCTTGATATTGCCAAATCTGTGAGTTTGTTCCTTTAAAAGTTTCAGGTGAAAAATCTCACTCAGCTTCATTTCCTAGCTTCTCCTTTCTCTCTCCTCCATGGATTAAAAAAGTTACATCAAGTAAGTGCCACGTTGCACCAATGTTGCTGCAAGATTCCTAGCAGAAGGCTTGGTCATTAATCTAACAGCACGTGCAGGTGAATGAGTGCCACAAAGCTCCTTTAAATTGCTCTCTGTTTTTTCCTCAGCTCTCCCAAAGAGGCAATTTCTCCTGGGTGCAGTGATGAAATACGGAGAATCTGTGCTTCAGTAAATAAATACTGTGTCTCTGTTTGCAGTAGGCATAAAAGGCGCAGTCTCATGCAGAGTACCCTCAGCTCTCACTGATTTCACTGGGAGTCAAAGCAGTATTTCAGCTTCTTGCAAGGTCAGGCCCAGAGTTCAAGTGACCCCCAAAAAAACAGGAAAATAAAAAAGCAGTATGGTTTCATGGGGCCTGGCTTATCAGGGGCCAGGCTTATTTCAGATAATTATTCCCCTGCACACTTCAAAGTTAGTAAGATCTAAGGAGCTCTGAGGAGCTGAGAGTTTAATGTCACCAAGTCTAAGGTCAGGAAGGGATCCAAACTGAGCTGGTGGATAAACAGCAGCAAGGGAAAAAATGCCCCCAAATTTTCAGCTCTAGGCAGAAAAACCAAAAACTTTACAACCTACTGAAAAAATGTTTGTGACCAAAAAAAATAAATAAAGCCGCACAGCTTTTTTTTTTGTTTTGGTGTGGTTTTGGTTGTTTGGCGCTTATTTCCTTCTCAGATGAAATAACCTCAGCAACCTCTTCAACGAAGCAGACACATCCACAGAAAGTTTTGTTTTATCGAAGACATTGCCTTCACATAACATGTCCTGTCGTGCTGTGCCCTATAAGCCTAGAATCTCTGCCTGGTATTGAAAACACTTTTGGGGGCACAGGACTGAGTGAGCTTCACCTTTCCTGCTAGCTGTAATTAATATCTACAGTGAAGGCCAGTAGTAGAAATAAAATGCCATGGGCAGTAGCTAAGTGGTGCTGCTGTTAGATGTCACCAGGGGACAAAATTTGCTCTTGGGGTCTCTCTTCTGAACTTAGTAGGTGCTGAAACTGCTGCAGAGGCATTGGTCTGGGGAAAGGGAACCTCTTGATTCCCAACTGCAGCCTTACCTCTATGGCAAATAAAAGGATCACTTTTACCTGTTTAAGAAAGCCTCTCACCCTCTTGGCTGCTACAGGCCATGGTCCCAATCAGTCCTGGAGTATGGGAGGATAAATTAACAAAAGACAATGGAACAGAGGGCACTGACAAACGTGCAGCTCCCTGGTCTAACTCATGGCACTTTACAGAAAGCACCATGAATTAGACCAACCCTCCCAAACCAACAGACATTCACTGTTGGGTCACAACGGTGGGGGGATCAAGCTCCAATATGGAGCTGATCCAGCTGCATGTCTGCAGCGTCTCCTCCCTAGCCCTGCCCCCTCCCTCACAGCTCCATGCTGTCTGCACAAAGGGAGGGGAGGGAGCTCAGGCTGAGCTTTGCCCAGCTTGTGCTGGAGAGGGGTGCAGTAGATTGGAGCCCTCCACCAAGTGTGGGGCTGGCTGCATCAGACCTACCACCTACTCAGACACAAGTTAATGAAGGTGTTCCACTTCGGAGCACCTGGCTTTAAAGCCTCATATAATGAGGGTTAATTTGCTGTGTGATTGGGGACTTTTAAAGTGCTCTGTAGCTGTGCACTTCTGCTAGGGCACAGCTATCAAGTCTTTTCAAGGGACCAATCGCGCAACAAATTTAACTTCTGTCTTTGACAGAATTTAACTTCTGTCAAATCTAACTTCTGTCTGGAGGGGCAGGAAATCTTCAGTTCTGTCACCATGCAGCACCCCCATGTAGCATCCTCTCTTGGTTGCCACAGCAACAAGGGCAGGTGAGAATCCACGTAGCTGGACCCAACTCCAACTGCTCAGAGATGAGGACAAAGAGAAAGTGCAAATGCACAGCTCAGCTTCCAGATCCTGCCCAAACTGCATCATATTCTTCATTTTAAGCAATAGGCCCCACCAAGGCATTACAAGTACCAATATGTGCTCCCAGCTCTTGGCTGTCATGGCACAGGGCAGGCAGGAAAGGAAAGGAAGTGACTAGAGTAGAGCAATTCATATATTAGTGGAACAAATATAGAATGTCTTAACTCACCTTGTGAACTGGACCACAAAAGACAGCACATGCATCAATGTTCTCGTACTGACCTGTAATGTGCAGTATTATGATACAGGTGGTTTATGTATCATGCACATATCACTGAAAAAAGAGCTCTTTTTTGGTGTCTGAAATGTAACTCTGAAAATAAGACACTGGCATTTTTCCTTTCTTTTTGGATTTGCTTTACAAGACCCTTGTCTTTTAAATAATGTGAGGCAGAAAAGCATCCAGAAGTCCTAATTACCAAAGAAAGGGCAAGAGGCAAGTTCCTGTGGAAATAATAGGTAGCCCTGAAAGTGATAACATATAATTTTTAATCAACAAATTGCCCTGTATTAAAGGGGACACCAAGAGGAAGTGGGCTCCTGAGCTAGTGGTCGTGTAAATATAACCTGCTAGCTTAGATGAAGCCAGCAGTCGATGTGGGGGTTTTCATGCCTGTTCTGTACTGTACGATTCTTTGTGAATGAGTTAGTTATATATAACCTCCTATAGTCCTTGCAGTGGCTGGCTCTTCTGAGCCTAATCAAAGTTGTACTGTGTTGATGAGCATGAACTGCTGCCCTCTGCTGGATGGACTGAGGCCTGCTCATGTCTTGTATTACTCAGGAAAAGCTGTGGCCCAAGCCAAGCCCCGTATACTAAAGTTGTTGCTGGAGAAAGGACAGCAATCTCTGGGCATTTCTTGGAGGTCTAGAGGAGACTACTTGACCCTAAAACTGCAGCTGAGTGAGCCACCCCAAGTGAGAAATACTAGGAGCATCAAAACCTGGAGGGAAAACACAGCCAGGAAGGGCAGGGGGCTGGGAATTGTTTGAGAGATCTAGGTTGACCAGAGAGTTGATCGGCCTGAATCACTACCAGTCCTGGAGGTACGAGTTTACATGACCCTACAACCTGAACCTAGAAAGCTTAGACAGGCCTGCATGAGCACACGTAACAGAGGGTGTGTCTACACGTGTACGTTTACTGTGCAGTTATTTAGGTTAACTACAGCGACTTATGCCAACTTGGGCATAAATTTACTAGCTGTATGATGCAGGTAGCAAATTTATGCCTGATTAGTAACTGTGCAGTGAGGCACGTATAGATGCCGTACTGTGCAGTAACACTGTGCGTGTGAAATGACTTGGGACCAGCTTTAGTCCAAAGTCAGTCCACACACAGCAATACTGAGCTGTAATGTCTGCGCATGTAGACACCAGTCTAAAAACCACTTTTAGGCTGGTGTCTAGTAACTTACTGCACAGTAAATGTACATGTAGATATGCCCAGAATGGTTTAATTGTGGCTTAAACCTGAAGCAGACAGACATACAAGCCTGTTAAACTTGTTCAAATCCTCCTGGCATGGTTCAAAAGTGTACCTGAAAAATCAAGTACTATATTGAACCAGTTCAGTGTTATATGCAGACACTAAGTATTTCATGACATGGGTCCATTCAGTCCTCCAGGCATCTGACACTGAATTATGACCCTCTCCCCCCACCCCCTACAACTGGCCACTCTGGTATGCAGTCATAACGCTGCTGCCCCTCTTTTTCCTCATTTGCAGGCACTTTTTATCCTCATTCTCTACTTGACCACAGCTTCTCATCATGCTTCCTTCTCTAGCCCCTGGGAACTAAAAACCATGAGTCCTGGCTCTCCTCCCTCCTGCACCCCCATTCAGGCAAGCACATTGCAGACTTCAGTCAGTTGCAAGCTATTGACACTTCATGAGCTCATATTTAGGAGAGAAGGAAAAGCAGTAAAGTGAAAATACCCCTAGCAACAGATCACCCACCCCTGGCACCATCCCTAATACTTGACCTCTATGGCAGAGGTGTCTGCTTTCCCAGATCCCAAGGTCTGTTCCTCCTACCTATAGTTCGCTGGCTCTGACTGCAGTCTGTGCTGTACATAACCAGCCATGGACTCATTCCCTCACAAGATCACATGAGCAAAAAGCAAGAGCTTATACCAGTGTTGCCAACTGGGCCAAACCCCCCCCCAGCTAATATTCCACACCTGCTGTGTGACCTCAGTCCAGTCACCTCCTCACTTTGGGCCTGTCAGCATTGTGCCCATGCCATACCTTGAAAGGTCCCCATGAAAAATTCCCCCCCGCACTCACCCCTACTCTGAACACACCAAATCTCAGGCGCATGGCAGTGTGGTTGCCTGAGAGGAGCCCTGAGCAGATGCCAGAGAGCACATACCAAGAGAGTGCCTACGAGCAGTGCTGGCTGTGCTCTCAGGACTGCTCTGGAGCAGCTGCAATGCCTTATTTTCAGGAGCTGGTGCACACAAAGTGAGAGCAGAAGGGCTGGGCGTGCTTCATGGTGGCACTGAGGTAATACAGACATGCCCTCTATGTCTTGGCTTCCCCTCATCCCCTTTGGCTACTCAGATTTATAAGTTTTTCAGAGTAAAAATTGCCTCTCAAACTGTGTTTCTACAGCACCCAATAGCAGTGATCTTAATCAGGACCTCGCAGTGCTACTGTAATACAGATAGTATTAAGACCTTAGGTGTCAAAGAATAGCTATTGTAAGCATTCATTTGTGAAGAGGCAGACACAGGGCTTTTTTCTTTGTAATTGTCCTGTTCACATACTAAAGTCAGTGAGATGAGAAATAATTCTTCAGATACTTTATTTGAAACATCAGCAACGCACTCATACCCACTAAGCCAAATTGGGGATATGAATATTGGATAGGGATGAAATTTGACAACTTTACTTTTGAATAAAGGCTCGTGGATTCAGAAAAAGAACATATTTCTAGGTGTTTAACATGTACCAGGGTGTTGATTAAAAGGCACATGGATTGGTTGCAGCAGGAATTTCTTTTGTTTCCATATCTGGGCAGGTAAAATTTGTGTATGAGAAGGCATGGGAGGGGTAAAATATATTATAGAATATTTATCTGCAATGAAATTTTGCCCCCTTGCAGCAACACCCCAGAGGAGAGAGTTGACTTCAGGGCTGCCTGCAGTAGCAAGTGACTGGACTCAGAGGCCCAGGGACTCCATCCTATCCTATGTCCCTAGTTAACTGAATCTTCTGCACTTATTGTAAGGTATGAGGACAGGAGAGAAGCAGCACAGACACACTCTGCTTATAAACTGATGATCATCAATCAAAAAGTTAAGAAAAAAAGTGAGACCGAGTCAAGCCAAACTCCATCGGAGAACTACTCAGTGCAGTTTCTTTTTATCATCTCCCAAAGTCAGCTTTCTAGCCAGAGAGAACATCAAAATCAGCAATTCACATCTTCTACTACATGGCATATAACAGAAGGTTCCACATTAAATTTAACTGGTGTGATTTTCAGACAGAACAGGCAGCCTGTATGGACCTCATCACCCCCATTATGGGGAACAATGAGGTATGGCTACAATTACTGCGAGAGTCATATCTTGTTCCCAGGCCTTGTCATGGACGTTAGGGGGTCCAATCATCATCCCACTGAAGTCAACAGGCGTTTTGTCACTGACTCCGGTGGAGCCAAATTGCACCTTCATTCCTCTTATGTAAATCCTTCCACTAACAGAGCCTCATGGTGCGTGTTGCAAGGAGGAGTAGCAGCAGGGCACTGGAATGAGACTCAATATCAGAGTGAGACTCCCACTAACAAGCAAGTCAAACAAAGCACGAAATTCTTTCGTGATGTTGGCCTTGGACTTTGGGACCATTTCCAACGCTTACTGCCATCCACATTTGAGACAGTACCCAAGAAACAGATGAATATTCACCCTTTATGAGGTATTCCTTCAACAGTCTTCTGAGGAAGAAGCCACAAGATCCAAGAAGAAAGACTCAGCCTGTGAAGAAAAATAGGAAGTAATGAACTAAGTAGGTTCCCCTCAGTGACACAACATGAATGCAAACCTCCACAAATGGGCCAGCAGGCCCTGACCACCAAGTTGGAGCACTTGCAGTGGGCTGTGGTGCCAGGATCTGAGAAAGGGTGTGATGGCGTGAGAAAGCACATGAAAGGCTGGGCAGAAAGGAAACGCAAGGCACTTTCTCCCCTTTGTTCCTCTCATAATCCCAGCTCTTGAGCACTGCTGCATCACGTAGCTGCATCCAACATGATTATGAGACAATACTTACACGGCAGTAATACCATGAGGCTAGTCACCTGGAGCACAGACACCGTCCCCACAGATTCAATTATAGCCCCTGTCCTACCAGGCTGACAGGCTAAAGAACAACATGCAACAGATGAAGGAGACAGGCAAGTAGCGGGGAATGGGCAGATAGTAACAAAAATAATGAGGGGCAGAGTTTCTTAACCGGAGGCTCCCCTCTGGCCAGAGGACATTGTGAAGGGGATGGACATGTTGGAGCCAAGGCTCTGCTGCCCTGTCAGTGGGGGAGCGGGTGTGAAGGGAGCCCCTGCCGCACAGTCTGGAAGCCTGGTGGCTGCCCACTCTGAGTGGTGAGCACATGGTCGAACCCCAGCAGCTGCTTCTCCTGCTGCCACACAGTGGGGGCAAGGCCAGGAGTCTGTGCACCACCCGCACAGCCCACATGGCAGGAAAAAATTTCATTTTGTTGCCTATTGCCCAGTTCTCCAATTTATCCAGATCCCTATGAATTTTAATCCCATCCTCTGAAGTACTTGCAACCCCACACCAGGGTGTAAATACAAATCCGCATATCCTCCGTCCTTGCATCTCAATTATCAATATAAGCGTCCAGCAGCGTTAAGCCTGGAGCAGATGCCTGCAGAGCTCCACTTGAGACCTATCGCCAGCCTCACATTTATTCTTTCATAGGCACTCTTCACTTGTGGTTTATTAAAAAATGTTGTATCCACCAAAGGGTGTTTTCATCCAGCTCACATTTCCCCAGCTCACACATGAGAATGGTACATGGGTCCACATCACACCTTTAAAGGCCAGATATATCACACCCACTGCATTCCCCTTGTCCACTAAACTCATTACCCTATTGAAGAAGTAAGTCAAGTTGGTTCAGCATGTTTTGTTGTTATAAATTCCTGCTGGATATTAGTACTCACACCTTCCTCTACCAGATAATCCCACTCCCTGTCACTTTATTCCATGATGTGCAGATACAAAAAACAAACAGAAACCAAAAACACAACAAAAGCACGCTACCAAAACACACCACTCCACCGGACATGTTTCTGTCCCTGGGGAGAGGGTGAGAGAACAAACACAAGTGATGTGACTCATCTCTCTTGCATTAATTACACTGATGGAAGATGCTTGGATCTGACAACAAGGAGCATGGTAGAAGAATCTAGCTCTTTTACTGAGAGCAAGAAGTCATGATTGTTTCCCTGGCATTTCCCAGCCATTTTGATATGCTTTTTGAGCAAATTTGGGGTGTCATTTTCCTGACTGTCAGACACTAGCTCATATTCTCCCAGGAGATCTCACTAGGCAAGTTACTTGATAGAGCAGTGGTTTTCAATGTGTGGTCTGCAGACACCTGAGGGTCTGCAGACTATGTCTAAGGGGTCTGCAAAACATGACTATGATCAATCAAAAGTATGTGAATACACACACTTACAATTCAAAGGGGCCCGCGCCTCCATTTGAAATTTCCAAAAGGGTCTGCACCTCCATTCAAAAATTTTTAGGCATACACAAATGAAAAAAGGTTGAAAATCACTGCCTTAGAGCAACCTTTTTGGGTTGATCATGCTCAAACACCCCAGTTCATCCTCCCTCCTCCCCCTCCCCCATCCACCCAAATACACCCCATACTTTAGGCAAAGCTATAGCTTTATTCTCTGTTCATCCTGCAAATGCGGTCGTGCAGCTTTGCTGCAGGAAAAGGGAAGGCCGCTGCATATGCTGAACTATGTCTCTAGTCTAGCTACACACACTCACTTGCTCACTCTTCTCTCTCCACAATTAGCAGTCTGCTCTCACTCCCAGGGCAGATCATATGCCCTCTAGTGGATCTGAAGTTCTACAAAGCCGACAGCCAGTGACTGCAATGGCTGGAAGAAATCCAGGAATGCCATTGCACTGTGTAACAATGGGAAAGCTGACCGCTGGAACATAGACAATGCGCAGTCTCCCAGCAGAAGTGCCTGGGAGATGGTTAGAGCACATGCAGTGAGCAAATGCAAGTAATACCACTGCCATTCTGAAAAATCAAATCCTTGCACGCGTGAGGAGCAAAGACAATAAATTCTGACAGGGAGCAACTCCCAGCACACAGGCCCTGACAGCACTAAACCAAGCGAGCTGAAGCAAATCATGGCAGAGCTATGCAATGCCCCCAAAGAAGAATCCTTACATCAGCTCACTGACACCTTCGATCTGGCAAGTCAAGAGCCAGTCACAAAAGGTTATCACCCCCAAGAGATGCCACAGAGGCCAACGGGGAGTCAGCTAGGCTGTAACTAGACTTTATTTACTAACACTATTCCCGGGAGGGAGAAGATCACAGCCTCCTTCATCCTTTCACCTGCCAAGGACCTAGCATGACATACAGATAGTGCACAAGTGACCCAGAGCGTCAAAGCCCATGTAGTGAGGCCGGCTGACTTTTATAATAAGAAACCAGAGAAGCATGTATCCCACAGTGCTGCCTAGTCCATAATAATCCAGAGGTACAATGAGCACAATTTACAGCAGTCGCATAATGCAAGAGTGAGGCTTTTAGGAAAACACCATCTGGTTTCCCTTTACTTTTAGGACTGAAATCTACATTGTCCACAGGCTGCTACACTTTGAATAAACAGCAACAACAACAAAAAGCCTTCAAAGGATCACTCTTCTCTAGGGTGGAAATTAGATTTCACATGTATACATTGATCAAGTCATTTACCGCTGAAATGCAGCTGCTTCTTGGGTGAAACACAGCAGCTGTTCACCACACACACAAACAGGACAGGACAAGAAGCAACTTCTAGCTAACTGAAACTGCCATGGGATTGTAGATCGAATATACACACCACACTTCTGCTAGAACTGGATCATGACAGCAGAATTTATATCCCGACTTATGAAAAAGAGCCAAAGACTCTTATGACAAAAATGTCAGCATGCCTTTTCCGAAGAAAGGCAAAGCATGCTTGGAAGCTACTTACTAAGCCAGTGGGGATAACGGGAATACTGTGAACATACACTAGTACAGCAGGGGCCAAACTTTTTGGCAGGCCCACCACAAGGTAAGCCTTGCACCTTCCCTGAATGCCACTCCAGTCCCCTTCCCCTGCCTGATCTGCTGCTCTGCTTTCTGCTCCCTGCCCTGTCTGCCACAGTGTGTGACACCCCTGCACTAGTACAAGATGAGTGAGGCTCACTTCTGCATCCCAGAGCAGCAAGATGCACTTTGTGGTCCTTTTCAAAGGTGGGATCTTGTGACATGAGCCTCTGGAGAGCGGTGGCTTCAGCAAAAATATTTTTTTTTCCATGTGCTTTATTCCTCCCCTTCCTGGCCAAAATGTCATGAGACAAACCCTATTTGTATGCAGTGTAAGCAGTTATGCAGCGCAGCTTGAAGAGAGGACATGACAACAGGAGCCTGCAGAAGCACTCCCAAACTGCTGGTTAGATAGGGGACACTGGGTTAAAGCCCCCTTAGAGTAAATATGAACTGGCCCCTTGACACGTGGTGCCTTGCAACAAAGGTGAAACACCATGCGGTTTCTTACCCCTAAGCCAGGCTAGTCACATGAACAGAGCACTGACAAGCCAGAAATCTCCTCTCCTTTACACTGGCATGGATTGGAGCTCTTTCCACTGGATTCACACTCCTCAGGGAACTGGCAGAAGAGAAGGGTCAGGCCCTAAAACGGCTGATTGCTACTCACGCCTGACCCTCACTGTAGTCTGACACCTCCCGACTGCGTGGTCATACACATGACTGTGCCCAGAAGACCAGAGGCTTCGAGTAATATGGAAGTCACACTACCCACCTGACAAGACATAGCCCCAGCCTCGTCATAGTGAAGGAAGTGGAGGACACTGCTGCTCCCAGGAAGCAGGGGAGGACAAGATGTTTTTCCTGCTCACCGGCCTCTATTACCTAGTCTACCCTGGACACTTCCACCCTTGTGCTACTGTTGGCTCAGGGGGCATGTGTCAGCACATCTCACACTGGCAGAAGATAGAGTTATACTGGCATGAGAGAGCTTTTGCTGGCATAGCTCATGTCGCTTGGGGAACCAGTACAACTTCTACCCAGCACGCCTTCCAGCAAGCGCTCCATGGAGAGACAGATCTGCTGACAAACTCCTGCTATTCAGGGAAGCTGGGGTAGCTCTGGCAGCAGAAAGGCTCCTGCCAGCAGGGCTGGGTCCATGCCCAGGAACCCGGTCTGCCCTATCACTGCCACCTTGGCCAAAGCACCTGCCGCCCATCTTTGCAGACTTAGCCTATGAGGTTTTACACCTCCACAAACCTTTTTGAGTGTGGATTAGGCCTTGGCTCCTGCCCTGCACCAGCTATGGCAACAGCTGTAGTCAAATGCTGCTTTCCCAGGCACTAGATGCAAGTCAGGCCTTTTAGAGGCAAAAAACACGTAACTGGGGCATGGAGGGCTTGCTGCCTAGTGGTTAAAGAGAGCTGCCCTTGGAAGTCCACCGCTGACTGACTGTTATCTTACAAAGCAACCAGAGGCAAGTGTTTGAATCCCACTGAAATTCAATGGGAGACTGGCACCCCAGAATTAAGTCAGACACTGAAGAAAATCTAGCTTGAAACAGCCTGAGAAATGTGAGTTTGCAGAAAATGCAGAGCTGGTTCTAGGTGTCGGCCCCAAAGCAGCTGGTTGTTGAAGTGAGGGAAGTGACAGAGCAGGGCTGTTGCCACAGTCTCTCTCTAAGGCA